AAAAAAAAAAAAGAAAGAAATACTAGAGGGGCTGCATTGTGGCTCAGTGGTAGAGTGCTTGCCTAGCATGTGTGAGGCACGGTTCAATCCTCAGCACCACATACAAATAAATAAAAAATAAAGATCCATCAACAACAAAAACAAAAACAAAAAAAAAGAAAAAGAAATACTAGAAGTGATACAAACATAGGAGAAAGATTTAAGTAAATTTTATCAACAATCTGTTCTGGGTAGACACTAATTTGAGAAGTGTTATGCCTAAAAATATGGGAGGATATTTTCCATGTAAATAAAGCTAAAAATAAAATTGTAGCTCATATTATTATAGTATATTTTCAAACTACATCTATGAGAATAGCAGTGGGCAAGGAATAAGAGGAAAATAAAAAGATTTTGTTGAAGTGGTATTTTTTGAGTTTTAGTTTTATAATGTTTTAAATTTTTTTTTCAATCATAAGTTTTTTAAATTGTAATGACTATCTTAGACCATAACTCAAAGATTTAATAAAGAAGCATCAAATGCCTCTGGCCTTGAAAACATGTTTTTAAAAATCTATTTATAGACATGCACAGTAACAAACATCTTTACATAAATAAAACATATAATTTATCCTTTCATTTTGGCTTAGCACGTGACAGGGAACAAGGTGATGTAATGGGAAAAGACTCCCCTGGGAGCCAGCAGACCAGAGCCCTGGCACGGGCTCCCCTTGCTCAGTGGGGACCAGGCAGAAGATGTGGCAACATGCCAGCCCTGCTGTTCCCCGTCCTCAGGATCCCATCTCAACACACAGGGAAGAAAGATCAGCACAAAGGTCCCCCCTTGTTTTTTAAGATATTTTATTCAGAGTTTATAAAAGTGTTAGCTTTTTATCTATTGCCTAATTCAGGTCTAACATGGAAAATAAGAATATGTTTAGAATGTACAGTACTGCTGGTTTTGGACAAAAAAAGCCAAAAAAAGTGAACGGTAAGGAAGAAAACCATCATAACAAAAAGACACTCCATTCAGCTGAAATTTATTGGGTACCTATAGCTCTAGGCTTTGGGACCAAGCTATAGGACGCCTGCCCTCATGGAGTTTAGACTCTAAAGGGGACATTAGCATAGACAAAAAACAAAATCAATGGATAAACCATTTGGTTTGTCACATAGTATTGAGTGCTATGGAGAAAAAATAAGTCAGGGTGAGCAGGACAGGGTAATTCTAGAAGAGGAGTTGGAGGTTTTAAGTAGGGTGTCCAGAGAAGGCATCCATAGAAAGATAAGAGTTGAAGACCTAAAGGAAAAGTAAAAGCAGCTCCCATACACCTTGAAGGTATTCCCAAAAGATAGGAACTCACTGGGAAGGCTTTGAACAGAGTGTGCTCTCATCTAACTTAACAGACTCTTCCATTGCTGTGTCCAAGGTGAGCTGTGGCAAGTCAAAGCAGGTGTAGGGAGACTAGTTAGGAAACCATGGCAATAATCCAGGCAAAAAGACAAAAGGTGAGATGATGAGAAGTGGGTTCCTTTGGATAGATCTTGAAGGAAGATTTTGCAAGGTTTGCAAAAGTATTTACAGAGGAGTGAAGACAAAAGCCAAGGATCTGGGCCTTAGGTGGTAAACACTGCAGAGAGGACAGGTTTTGGGGTAAGGTCTGGCTTGTGTGTGTCTGAATGCCCATTAGGTTTCCTCGTGGAACTCTCAAGTTGTAGATTGGATATACAATTCTGGAGTTAGAGGTGGTTCCAGGCTAGAGTTATAAATTTGGGAATTATCAGCATATAAATTGTTTAAATGATACTAAAGCCGTGAGACTGGATGAGACCACCAAGAAACAGAGTGTAGACGGAGAAAAGGTCCGAGGACTAAGCTCTGGGAGAAATCCAATGCTAAGAATTTGGGGACAGGGCAGGCTCCAGCCAAAGAAATGAAAAAGAGTGGCCAGTACAGCAGAAGGAAAAGCAAGAGAATATGGTAGGAGCCAAGTGGAGCCAACTGAAGAAAGCATCTCATGGAGGAGTGATTCTTTCCAAAAAGTCATTTTTATGGTACTTAGATCTACACTTGCAGATCACAGTTTTCTGTGAAAACTGAAGATATCGTGTGTGTGTGTGTGTGTGTGTGTGTACACACACATATACATACACATATCAACTAAATTAAAGGCTGTTTGTAATCACACCTGGTAAGAAAAGTATATTTGTGTTTGTATATATTAAGCCATTAGCTTCCAAATAGAAATCAGTTTGGGAAAACATAAGATTTCATATTTTCCACACCTTTCCCCATCTCCATCATCACAAATGATTGGTTCTACTTGTTCTTATGGTTGWATTCTCCTTATTTCAAGTTTTCAAGTTTAGTATGATTACAAATTGAAAATATGCTAATTCTCCATGATATGAGTTAATAAATAACCAGACTGACTATATATCATTTGGCAAAGTAGACACTAAATATTACTTCTACGCATATAAAAATGCTGAACTTACTTAGATTAAGCTGCAGGTCAGCTTTCCATCACTGTTACAAAATACCTGAGATAATCAACTTATAAAGAACAAAGGTTTATTTAGGCTCACAGTTTGGGAGGTTTCCATCCACTATTGATTGGCCCTTTGCTTTGGGGGCTCTTGGTGAGGCTTTGAACCATGGTGAGAGAAAGTGGCAGGGGGAAACTACTCACCTCATGGAAGCCAGGAAGCAAAGAGAAAAAGAGAAAAGGACTGGCATCCCACAATTCTCTTTAATGGCACCCCACCCTCACAGTGACCTAACTTCCTCCCACTAGGCCCCACCTCTTAAAGGTTCCACCACCTCTCSATAGCACCATAGACTGGTGACCAAGCCTTTAGCACAGGGACCTTTGTTATTCAAGCCATAACAGTGTATACTATTCTGAGAACTCATGACATATTATAAAATGACAATGGTTTGTGAACATATTCATCATAAGAACATGTTGGCCACATTTACTTACTTAAACAACCTTCCCCAAACCATGGCTGAGAAATCTGGCTTTCTTAGTCTCTGRGGAGATAAGCTGTTTTATTTTAATCACCTAACTTAGCTTAGGGAAGAGGGGGGGAAATAGATGTAACTCAGTTGACAGCCTTGCAGTACAGACATCCCATCTCCACTCCCTTTAGTTTTTCCTAGACATGAGGCTGCCAGTTCAATAAGGCAATAAAGTAAAGTAAATACAACTACAAGGCAAAACAAACAGCAAGCATTATCTCACTGGAAGTAACCATAAATTTTAAAGTGCAATCTTGGCTATATTGTCAAAGGATTTTCTTGGTCTGTTTGCATAGCTGTATTTTATTACATTCTGAACTAATCTGGACTTTTTCTGGAGATTTATATTGTATACCTATCTTATTTACCCTAAAATCCTTGTGTACTACATTTCTCCAGCAAATTGAATTGTATCCAAATCTATAGGTTCTAATCTCTAAGCAGTTCTGGTGAAGAGCTAGGCAGCACAATTCCTACCATGTGTTTTTAAAGACATACTGAGACAGTGAATTAAACACAAGTGATGGGGACTTCTCTGGGTGGATTTGGGTAGCACATATTGCCTTGGTTTTATTGCTTAATCTTCTAAGTTGCATGTCCTGCAAATCCACATGCACCTGACTCCAATGCCTTGGTCTGTTTTGCCGCCTCCTTCTGTCACTATCTWATGAAAACTGCAAAAAGAAAATGTTTCCTTTCCATTACAACAGCAACAAAAATTTCAAGAATGAAGCCGCAAAAATACCATGCCACATCACATGTCTTTTCTTAATAAATAAGTCTGAAAGCAGTTAGCATCAGACCATCATAGCAGGTCAAGGAGCATAGAGTTTCTAAACCAAACTTTCTTTAGACTTAACATTTAAATGTGATTATTATCAGAAAACTATGAAGCTAAAAAAATTTAAAAATTTCTTAGTACCAGAGAATTTTTTTTTGATTGAAATAATTGTTCGGTTACATTTATAGCCCATACGAACCTTTCTTTTCTGTTAGATTGTAAACCCAAAAGAATAGGAACAAAGATATTTTTAATTGACTTTTATGTACTCTAGCATAGAACTATAATGAGAGAGATTCAGTCATTCTTGGACATTTACTAGAAATACTGTTTACTAAGTCTGCCACCTGGTACCGTTATGATAACTGTGATCATATTTTGAGAGAAGRAGAGAGAAAACACACATCTACGGTCACCATTTACTCAGGAGAGTTAAACCCACACCATGGATAACGCTTCAAGTTTTCTTTCTTAATATATAAAGAGAAATAAGATATTACTAGAACAAGTACCATTGGCTGTCATTATCCTTTGCTTCATCTGTCCTTCCCTAGTTTAGAACACACAGCATGCCTATCTGTTCCTGCCACACTCAAACTCTCTGGATCTCCCTGGAACTCAGCTGTCCATCTCAGGCTCAGGCCTGGCTGGCAATTGGGTTCCCAATGGGTGGAACTGTTAATGGCCCTACTGGTTTTTCACATCCAGCCTCAGAAAATTCCTAAAAAGCCAATGGTTGGACACTGGCCAAAAGGAGGAGATTTCCAGCATTTAAGATTTATATTTAACTGAAAAAAAAAAGTKTAAATATCCTAGTAAGTTGATTTTAGCACCCCTTCTTTCTTTCTTCCTTCTCTCATCCTCTTTTTCCCCTTTCCAGGTACAGAGCAGTTGCCTCCTGGAGTCGTGTTCAAGGAATTGGGATTCCCTTGATTACTGCCATTGAAATCGTCTCCATCTGGATCCTGTCCTTTATCCTGGCCATCCCCGAAGCCATAGGCTTTGTCATGGTGCCCTTTGAATACCGGGGTGAACAGCACAAAACCTGTATGCTCAATGCCACATCAAAGTTCATGGAGGTACTGATGGTTTTCACAATTGATTGAGTTGGCTGAGTTTTAAAATTTACCAGAGCTTAAAAGGAGGTAACTGGGGACTGAGCGCTTTAAACCTCACCCTCTTAAAACTTGTGGACATCGCCACAATGCAGTTGTGCCTTACTCTGTCAGTTCAGTCACACATCTTTCTGTCACAGGAAAAGAGATGCAAAACTAGAGTGTAGCTTCTTGAACAGAACAACTGTTTTGCTTCTCTCCCTTTCTCCCTCCTTTCCCACCACCTCATCTCGAATTGTAGTACCACCGCCAACACAATTCTATACCAAGCAACTGGGAATTCCAAAGCCCATTTACCAAGAAAGAGGGACCAGATTACTTTTTTTTTTTTTTGAAGAGTGGCTTTCTAACTCAAAGTAGGGAGTAATGTTTGCATATATTCATATTAATGTGAATTCTGTGTGATACACAAATATTATAAAACTGCAGAACATTGTTTAATATTGTTTTTAGTTGTAGATGGACACAATATCTTTATTTTTATTTATTTATTTTTATGTGGTGCTGAGGATCAAACCCAGGGTCTCATGCATGCAAGGCAAGCATTCTACCACTGGGCTATATCCCCAGTCCAAACTACAGAACTTTTTTAAAGACTTTTTTTGTTTAACAAACTCAGTTTTTCTTCAATACACCTGGCCACAGTAATATTTCTCTGAAAACCTTAAGCACATGACTATGCTATTTAAAATGCATTTTTCCTTTGGAAAACTAGTTACATGTGGACTAAGGAGAACCAAAAGGATAACTATTTCTCTTAAATCAGCATAATTTAGTGCTTTGATGTAAGCTCCACGCAGCTCAGATTCCACATTTAATCATTTACAGACATTTCAAGGTATGCTTTCCTAAGCTGGAAAATTCACAAAATCAGTTGATCAGTTATCTTGTTTGGAAATTCTTCTTTTGATATTAAAAGTGCTCAGGAAAACTGCCAAACTGGCAATCTTAAAATTGAAGTCTTTTGTTTATCCGCCGACCCTTTTTTTAAAACTCAGGTCAGTTTTCACAATGAAAATCAAGACATAGGAGGTTATCAGAATTTGGCAGTGCAGACAAGGGATCTAGATATTCCAGACAAAAGCAAGAGAGGAAAGAGGCTCAGTATAAGAAGGTGTTAACTAATCCCTAGAGCTGGACAAAATGAGGTGTTACTTCATAAAGACTGGAGTCTCCTATATAAGCCATCATGCAAAGAGAAGCCACCATGCAGGCGTGGTGGCCTCAGAGGGATTGCGGTGAAAGGGTATGAGTTGAGCTGATGGGATCTTGGAGTTCATTTCAAGTCTTGAGTCTTGTTCTTTTTACCTAATTTTATTTCCCCTCCTTTCCCCACTCTTTCCTCCTCAGTTTTGCTGTATCCTAGACTGACCTGAGGCCCTCTCCAATCCCTTGCTTATGACATCATTTCAAAAGAAATGGACTGTGCCATGGAGGGAGGAAGGGGAGCCAATCCTCTCAGAGCTCAGCTTCCAGACCCTTTGCAACTGCAGACCTTGGGTCATTCCCACCCAGCCAGCAATGCGCCAGGAAGAAGGGGCTACTAACAAAGGGGTGGGGCTCAAAGGAGTGTTGCACTTCAAAACAAAAAGAGAGTCCTTCTAATTTTTTTTTAAGTTTAGGACTAAATCCTTCTCTAATGTGATATATATTTATATATAATGAAAATCTTCATATAAGCAGATTTGGGTAAATTAACTCCTTTGGGAATTTGTACTTGACCAGGGGTCTGGGCTTGGATGGAAAAGAAATTGTGCTGGTTTTCACTAACTTCTAACTGAAAGTTACCATTTGCTTCAATTACGAATGTGGGCAACAAACTGCAATGGTATTTCAGAGTGCCATGACTTTTTCACTGATGGAAATAGCAGACAATGTCACACAGTATCACACCTGTATCCTTTAAAATATTGTTTATGCTCAATACTGCTTCAGCATTCCGATAGTTATTAGAGTCACCAGTAGGTTTGTTATTTAATTTGTTGATAAAAAATGTATGTTGTATCAGAACTTTATTTTTAACACGTTTATAGACATCTTGCCATATAACTGGCAATATACGATATTGTATTCGTATATATTTTACTTTAAACATATGAATATTGTTCTCAGCTGAGCACTGTGGCACACACCTATAATTCCGGTGACTTGGTTGATCAAAGCAGGAAGAATCCAAGTCTGAGATCAGCCTGGGCAACTTAGAAAAACTCTATCTCAAAAGTAAAATATAAAACAGGCTGGGGATATAGCTCAGTGAGGTAAAGTGCTTGCCTCGCATATGTGAAGCACTGGGTTTGATTCTCAGCACTGCATATAAATAAATATTTTTTTTAAATAAACATCTACTGACAATTAATATATATATTTTAAATAGTCTGTGGATGTAGCTCAGTGGTAGAGCACCCCTGGGTTCAATCCCCCCATACCAGAGAAAGAGAGAGAATATTGTTCTCCAAAGGGACTACAGTGCTCACCAGACTTCCAAAGGAGTCTGTGGCATAGAAATAGTTAAGAACCCCTGCCTGAACTTTTGTCTTCAGGAACCATTTTTAGATTATTTTAATAGACATACTGTAAATGTAACCCACTGGGCCCCTTTCTATATTCAGAAACCGTCCAGTGGTTCACAGAGCAGCATGATTATTTTTTACTGTGGGAACTGAAATATTACAGGAGGCTGCATTTATCCTTAGTAAATAAACAATCTGAAGCAACATTGTAAGGAAGGAAAAAGAATTTCTTTCCAAGTTGGTGATGAATTTAGAATAAAACTGTGGATATCACTTTCCAACTTTCCTTTTTATGAAGTACTAAGCTTGCTCCTTTAAAAAGACATAAAGCTGAATACTCTGCAGGTTCACAGATCCTTGCCCACAGGGAGCGCTTGCTAAGTAGGCCTTGGGCTAAGCATGCTGCCTCAATAGTTTCCAGGTGGCCAGTATTAAAAGAGGGAGTGAGAGGGTGGTTATTGATGGCTCAAACCGTCTGGCATTGGGGTCACATAGCTGGCATACCAAGCAAAGGGTTAACTCCCATTACCCAAAGCTCCACAGATAAGCCACACAGAACTTCCCTGCTTCCAAACAAGAGACATGCATTAAGTGCACTTTAACCACAATAATTAAAAGTCAACCAGGCACTAGCAGAATTTTGAGGCTTATCAATAAATAAAGATAAACATGTTTTATATACCTTGGAAGGGAATTCTTTTTTCTGGATTAGGGTTCTTTCGTTGTGTCACTGAAACTTACAAAAAAGATCCCTGTCAGGACAGTTTTTTAATATGTAGTTTCTTTGTGTGCTAGAGTCAAGCCAGGATAATTTTTGGAGTTTCAAAGTTAATTGAGTTTTGAACACCACACCCAAGCCCTTTACTACAGGTGGGATCGTGAATATACAAATACATCTCCAAGGGCAGATTCTGAGGCTACAGAGGTCCTGCCCTGTTAACCTAATCACTGTGTCCCTCCTTTTCTCTCCCTTCTCTTCACTACCCAGTTCTACCAAGATGTGAAGGACTGGTGGCTCTTCGGGTTCTATTTCTGCATGCCCTTGGTGTGCACTGCAATCTTCTATACCCTCATGACCTGTGAGATGTTAAACAGAAGGAATGGCAGCTTGAGAATCGCCCTCAGTGAACATCTTAAACAGGTAAATCCACTGAGATCTCAGAAACCTGGGCAAGACAGTGTTGTCCTTCAAATCAGCAGACCTACACTTCATAACAGCATTTCAGTTGATGTCACATTGACTCTATGACAATGGTTCTGTAAGATGCTAGTGGAACTGAAAAATTCTGATTGCCCAGTATCTCCACTGTACCTTGTCTGTGCTTAGCTATGTTTAGATGCACAAACACTGTTGCGTGACAATCGCCTACAGTGCTCAGTACAATAACATGCTGTTCAGGTGTGGCCTAGGAGCAACAGGCTGAACCATGTAGCTCAGGTGTTCAGAAGGGTACCATCTAGGTTTGTGTCGGTACACAATGACAAAATTTCCTAACTATCCTTTTCTCAGGGTATATCACTGTCCTTAAGTGATGCATAGCCACATTGTATATAGCAGATTTCGACTGATTTCCTAAAAATAAAAATACTGCCTTGTAACTATTTTCTTTATAGTTCTAGAGTGAGGGATTTCTCTTGTGACAGGGGAGCCTGCCTGGGAAACAGATGGCTCCAGAGGCTGGGCCCAAAGAGAAACTATTCATTGATAATGCCAAAAAAAGAGCATTGAGCAAGCGTATATGCGTGTCTATATACCAAATTGGGCTTCAAACTATGCCAGGGCAGAAAGAAGTGTGTGACTTTCTCCCCTTGCAGGATTTACAGTCTAGTTGTACAAATAAAACACAAACATGAAACAATCAGAAAACAGGATGATAAAACAGAGTCAACGGAGCCTGTACACTAGCTGTGGTAATCAGCTTTTCATCACGGTGACCAAAATGTGCCACAAAAAATAACTTAGAGGAGGGAAAGTTTATTTGGTCTCCTGGTTCCAGATGTTTAGTCTATGGTGTGCAGAGTCCATGACTCTGAACCAAGGTGAGGCAGAGCCTCATGGTGGAAGGGTGTGGAGGAAGAGTCTTGTTCCACTCATGATGTGAAGAAAGCAGAGAAAGGGTAGGGAGGGGTCATGAGGCACATCCCCAGGGACCCACTTCCTCCAGCCACACCCTACCTGCCTACACTTACCACCTGCTTAGTCCATTCCCACTAAGATAGACTGATTAGGTTACAACTTTCACAATCCAATCACTTCACTTCCAAACATTTCTGCATTAACAGGAGTTTCTGGGTCCAAACCACATATCCAGACCACAACACTAGGAAATAAGAGAGGATTGACATAGAATCATAGAGCAAGTGTTCATGAATGAACAAGAGGAGAATAAATGGGATTTGATAGGGAAGCAGAGGACAGAGGGCATTTCAGATGGAAAAAAAACAGAGTTCTAGAATGTGAATGGGCACCATGCATTTGGAGAGTAGGAAAAAAGAAACAAATTTCATTAGAGCAACATCTAAAGTGAGACTCGTGAAAGGAAACAGCATTGAATTCACAAAACAAATTCTCTAAATTTTGGAGGTCCCAAATTTCTAGAAGAAATTCAAATATGCCAATAGGGAGTTAATGTTGGTACCTCCTGAGTAGCAAATAGATAGATAATGCTTTGGGCTTTAGAAGGCAAAACATGATTCTAATAACCTTCATCAAAATTGCTTAACCACTCTGAGGTTCTATTTTCTCATAAGATGAATAAAATAATACATTATACTAATAACCTAAGACATATAAGTTGCCTAATAATAAGGCATATAAGTTGCGTAATTCCTAGTAGGTACTCAGCACATGTTAATTTATATTAATTCAAAAAGTAAAACCAGGACTGCAGGTCAGTTTTCAGTCACAATAGACACATATGTAAGAACATCCAACCACACCAAAACAATGTGAGTTATTGATGGAGTCTCCAAATCTCTCCCACATAATTATCATATACAAACATCTTTCCTCATCAGCAGCACTTTTTCAACTACTGTGATTTTCCTGAGCTTCAATTCCTCATCTATAAATTGAGCATAATGACATATAAATCAATGTTATTATGAGGATCAAAGGATTTGATGGACATGCATGTACTTTGTAAAATCTAACGTGTCAAGCAAATAGTAGCTATTACCTTTTATTGACGTTTGGCAGTATGATCACATTAAGAAAATTTAGTATGACTTTGTCCAAGCATAAATGTTTCAAATACTGCAGATGTGAATGTATTAAGCAACTATTAAGTCTCATCCCTTCGAGAGAAGCAGTTAATTAGAATGGATTTATGAAAAACAGTGTTTTTAAATGATAGTTTTTGCATTAACATCATTATTGTCTACTTCAGCTTTGAGTTGTACTTACTTCAGAAATACATAATAATAATATGTTGTTCACAGTTACATAGCATTTTGATTCCTCCAAGCACAGATAGGTAGGATACATATTAACCTTGTTAAATTGACAGTTAAGAGATCTGCTCACGCAAACTGAGAATAGAACCCAAGATCTGGTACTCACTCAAAGCTGGAACAGGTTTTCATAACAATAAAGCAAGGCTGGATACAAGTCCTTCAGGTGAACTGTGGGAAAGCTAGCCTGGAGTAGGAAGCCTTGCCACTCTTTGACTAATAGTCTAAGGCTCTTTCTAGTTTCTTGCTTGGTTGTCCCAAATTTTCTCTTCATTATAAAGACGTAATCAGTTAGGGGTTGTGTTTGGATGCTGGTAACAGAATACCCAAAATAAGAGTGAGCTGATCAAGTCAAGGTTTATCTTTCTCCCACTGCAAAAAGTGCAGATGCCAGTGGTTCAGTGGTGAAGGAGCTCAGAGGCCAGGTGCCTGCTGTTTCGCCAATCTCTCCTTCAGCCTTGGAAAACAGTGTGGCAGCTCTACTTTTATGTCTGATGTCGGAACAGCAAGAAGGGGAAGGACACACAATGCATGAGCATGTGTGTACCAGAGAAGGCTCCCCCTACTTTTAAATAGCTTTTCCAGGAACCCACACAATGTCTACTTAAGCTAATTGGTCAGAATTGTGTTATGTGGCCAAGTAGTTGAGTAGACAAGACTCCCTTGCTGCCATAACAAAATCAAGATTTGTGACACAGGAAGGAAGACAGGAGCATGGATGGTGGTTAAGGGAATATCAAACTGTCAATATTACCTTTTAATATCCTGTTTGATGGCACACTCAGGAAAGGTGACATTCCCCCAATACCTTCCCTTTCCATTTTTCTAGATGCACCATCTTTGTGTGTACACAAAATGACCCTTTAAAAACCCCCATTTCTGGAGATTGGAATGATTTATTTGTTGCCTCGATCATGCCCCCTGATGCCATATCCCAGCTAGCCAAATAACTATGAAAGATTAAAGAGTTCTCAGTCCTTTGGACTACAAGGACGATTTGTAAAACTGCCACAGATCTTTTCAAATGGCTCAACCGATGGTGTGTGTTTACTGACGCTTTCCCAGGCTTAATGTTATAAGCTTTGTGTTGAAGCAGTATTCATTTCCCAACTCCTGTTTTCAGTCAGTTTTATTTTGACATTAATTGAAGCCAGTAACAGACAARCTGCATTTTATGTCCCTGGTTAGACTTCTAAATGCATGCAGTATAATACTCAAGCATAATGTGCCCAAATGAATGGCTGCAGATCATTCCTAACCTATGTTTTTTTTCTGAGCCTAAGCAGACTCCAAAGGCATGTAAACCTGCAATAGAAATCAGTCCAGGGTCAGTGTGTTCCAGTTTTTATAATTATGACTGCTGATAACACTTTGCCTTCATCCTTCTGTTGGCAATGTATCTTTGGAAACTACATGCTGTTAATAAAAGAACTTAAGAAAAATCAATGCTAGCTTTCTTCAAGATGAGGAAAAGAAGAAAACTTGTTGCTGTTGCTTTTTCTGCTATTTTCCTACCATATTTTGTTTCCCAAGTGTCTTTGTAGATTTGCCCATTCATTTCCATGTCATGCTCTGTCACCTTGCCTGCCATGCCATCAATGCTCGTCAGTTACCTGATATTGAGCTAATAGCTCACCTTTCCCCATGCACTCACCCCCATCCACCTAAGCACCTGCGTACACACTGATGTGCTCACCTGCTGAGTCAGCCACAGTGTTGGCTCACCTCTGTCTTGTAACCTCTGACCTGGCTCAAATGACAAAGCCACCCTCCTTCCTGGCAACTGCCCCAAAACATCCTTGGCAACACCTTGATGTTGCATTCCAAATCTTAAGAGACCAAGGTCCTGCGAGGGTCTGTTCTCTCAGCTCTTCTCTGTGCTGTTCCACCCCTGAAGTCTTTTCCTTCCTTGTGTAGTTCTTTCATCTAGAATAAAGTTGCAAATGTAACGTATTTTATTTTCTTACTTTCCTTTAGCGTCGAGAAGTGGCGAAAACTGTTTTCTGCTTGGTTGTAATTTTCGCTCTTTGCTGGTTCCCTCTTCATTTAAGCCGTATTTTGAAGAAAACTGTGTATGATGAGATGGACAAGAACCGATGTGAATTACTTAGGTACGATTCCATGTACCCATTCCACATACCCATTTAGAAATTGGAGTTTCTCTGCTTTGCACATTTATACAATTTTTACATCCTCTTTACATTCTGATTAGCCCTAAAAAACTAAAACTGCAAAATGAATTATTATTTTTTTAGCTGACATAGCCCATAACTGATCCCAAAATTTGTGCAAGCCATGTCTGTAATCTTGCCACACCCCTCCTGAGGCTGTGCATAAGGGTTTGAGCCAACCAAGGGGATAATCTATCTGCAAATGTCCTGCAGATCTGAAACTGCCACTTAAACTAAGCACTTTTAAAAAACTCTAATTGCCCAGAGGACATGCTTCGAGGCAAGAAAAAATGCTTATCCTAGGATAAATTCTACTTAGCAGATTTTGAAATAATATGTTCTAATTATTCTACACTATTTTCTTTTGCTCTAGCTTCTTGCTGCTCATGGATTACATCGGTATTAACTTGGCAACCATGAACTCATGTATAAACCCAATAGCTCTATATTTTGTGAGCAAGAAATTTAAAAATTGTTTCCAGGTAAGACTGTTTTGCAAGAACTTCTTAAAGACAACCGAATGAGTGTATTAAGAAACTAACAGACACAGCCAATTCCAATTTTCGTACTACTTTGATCAGCTACACTCCTTTTCAGTAGGGAAGTGAAAAATCACTTTTATTACCTAGAAAGAGGGTCAGATTGTGGGCATAACAGAAAAGCACTATCTATTCTGACAAAAACATAATCAGAAGTTAAAACTAAAAGGACTAACATAATTACATGTCAGTTTAGTACCATCTGTTAAAAAGAAATGCTCAAACCAGGCACAGGGCACACACCTGTAATCCCAGCAACTCTGGAGGCTGAAGCAAGAGGATTGCAAGTTCAAAGCCAGCCTCAGAAAATTAGTGAGGCTCTAAGCAACTTAGCGAGACTCAAAATAAAAAATAAAAAGGGCTGGGAATGTGGCCCTGTTTTTAAGCACCCCTGGGTTCAATTCTCAGTACCAAAAAAAGAAAAAGAAAGATGAGGAGGAAGAGGAGGAGGAGGAGAAATAAATGCTCAAATATGAACACATAGAATATACAAAATCAGTTCATTTTTTTTACTTTAGACTTTAATCAAACTCTTGACAAAATATAAACTCTGCTATTAAGAAAGCTTTCACTAAATGCTATTTAACAGTGAATATAGTCATGACTTTTTCAAGTACAGTAAATGTTTATTGCTCTGGAAACCTGTACTACTATAACTTCATTTAAAATCAGTTTCCTTCTGTTTTTAAAACTTCCTTCTAGCTAAGCCAGAAGCTCCAAGCATGTTTTATTGATGTGTCACTTTCAGATTCTAAAATGATTTTAGTACAGTTCTAGTCCTCATGGGATTTTCTTATCTTTGACCAGGATTTTTAATTTTAGCTACTGGTGCATATTAGGCAGAGTAGCATGAAGTTCAAGGTACAATTAATTATCTAATCAGAGTTCAGTTGGTGCCCCTACTGCTTCCTCAATTTTCCTGTCTGTAAAGTTGGATGATCACAGTATCCATCTCATAAGTAAGGTTTAATGAGTTAATATATGTAAACCTCTTAAAACAAAAATGCTCAGTATGAGTTGACTATTAGAGTTGAGAGAGGAAGCATAGAAACTTCCCCCATAGAACTTGTAATCTAAAAGGAGACAGACATATTAACCACAGAATCATACAAATGGGTGAAACTTGGTATGGAAGTTGTAGCTGCCATATTTTTTTTGAGGTCCCCTTGAAAATGCTTAGAAGATACAAAATGCTCTGCCTAAAATGGATTAACTAACTCACAGGTCATAACTAATACATTTTATAAGCTGAAGTTTATATCACTTGCTAATTAATTTACATATTAATTAGAGGGGAAGAGAAAATCAAGATACAAATTTTCAGAAATTCAACACACTTTTTTAATGGATCTTCCTAAAAAGGCAGCATACCTAAGGGAAAGATTTCAATATAGAGTCCTGAGTTATAATTCAAGTTCTTCTTATTATTATCCTCTCTGGCCTCACTATTCTTATTCATAAAAAATGGGGGAAATAACACCTACCACCTAGGGCTGTAGTGAAGATCACAAGGGGTACCCGATGTTGAGGGCCACTTGGGGTGCACCTGAAGCCCATTTCTAACCTTCCCATCCATGCCTTACTCCCTGGCCTCTGCCTGGAGATGCTCCCTTTGGCCAAAACTGCCTTCCCTTCCTCTTGCTCCTGTGAGTGGAATTGAAACAATCAGCAAGAGACCCCTTTCTCTCCCGGGAGATAGTTGAACTTCTGCCTCCAGATGACAGGCCTCATACTCCGACCACTGTCCATGCTCCCTGTCCTCCAACATGCACACACATGGACCCCACGTGTTGGTGGACCCCAAAGCCTCTGTATTAGGCTGGTAACGGGTGGGTGGGTTCGTGTTATTCACAGTCTGTTCCTTCTCCCAGTCATGCCTCTGTTGCTGCTGTCACCAGTCCAAAAGCCTGATGACCTCAGTCCCCATGAACGGAACAAGCATCCAGTGGAAGAACCATGACCAGAACAACCACAACACAGAGAGGAGCAGCCACAAGGACAGCATTAACTAACCATCTGCAAGACATTCATTGATTCTCCTTGAAATCCCTATTGGAGAAAAAATTTCACGMAGTAACTGTGTCTCCAGGAGTCTCTTCTCTGATCCTTCATCCTTCACTCAGGCCCTCCTCTGGATAAAAGTGCTCTCCCTATGTTTTCCAAAGCAGTGGAAGGTGGATTCATTTATATCCACCAAGCTCATAAATCTCACTTCTTTAATTTATCTAATGTACATATTCCATACATTATTTCGACACTAAAAAGTGATGGGAATTGGAGGAGAATGGAGACTATTAAGTGAACCTGAAGGATATTTGCTACTTTGCATGAAATTAGGGATTTTTCAAGTACATAACTAGATTTTCTATTTTTTAAGTGTTTTTTTTTCTTCCAAATAGCATGGGTTTAAGTCACCTTTTTTTAAAATGTCATTCAGTGCCAGTATTTCTTAACTATGTGGTAGCCTAGAAATGATCGAGCCTATTGACATACATTTTGTTTTAAAAAAAAAAAAAGGAAAGGAAAGAAAGAAAAGACAAGAACAATATTCAGGTGAACAATTACATTAATGTTTCTCACTGTTTTATTGTTTAAAACATGAGTTCTAAAGCTGCAACAAATACAGGCATACAAACCACAGACTGGTAACCACATATAGTAGTTTAACAGCTGCTATTCAAAGAATGTTTAAGAGCTTGTATTTTCTTTTTAAATAGTGTTTTATTACAGAAGACCTTGAACATATTTTTATGTTAATTTCAAAAATAATTCTGGGATCCAATAGTTCTGTTTTTCTCAAACCCAAATGTTCTTTTACTGTAAGTTTTTTAAAATGTTAAAATCATGTTCCAAAATTTAAATGACTCATTAAACTAAGCCTGAGACTTTCAGTGCAATGTTTAGATGTCTAAAGCATAGCTAGGAGAAAAAGATTGAATATTTTTAGAAGATTTGGAAATTTTTCACTGAGATTTTGGTAACAGTAACATACATGGGTGTGTATCTATATCTGTATCCATGTATATAGACACACATATTGCCTTATATTCTCTTAATTTCTCCTAAAATGTTAGCTGGCCATAAGACTTTTTTTGGTTATTCTTTTCTCCAGTTAGGAAAGATAATTTCCAAGTGTCCAGGCAAGTGTACCATGTCAGTGAAATATAGTTACTGCTACCATGGACTTTTGATTCTTCTTTGGGTGACCAGAAAGAACCCAAATCCCCACCTCATCCCTACTCCCTAGTGGTCACCATTTCAAAGGGCCCACAATGACTTTTTCTGGGCATTTCCCCAAATGTTTACAGACTGTGAGTACAGCAAAAAAGAAAAAAAGAAAAAAAAAAAAACTTTTACTATGTGTGTATATGTACATATATATATAAACAATTATAAGTTTCTTTTAGTTGATTTTTGTGATTGTCTCTATAGTGTGTGTGTGTTATGTGTGTGAGTGTGAGATATGCATGAGTGTGGTGGTACATATGGATTTAATCTAATCTAATCATCATGCCCCATGGCTGTGTCAAAGCACATACTCTGATGGAATCTAGTTCATCAGTTGCCACATAGAAGTACCTCCTGTGTTCACAAATCTTGTGACCATATTACCATTGCAAATGGAATAGGGGAGGCAGCATGAGAGGGAATGAGCCATAGGTTAAAAATATAGGGTTTTGGTTGGTTGGTTTGTCGAAGCAGTATTTGGGGTGACGTTGTTTCATGAGCTAAAGCAARAGTCATTACACTTTAAAGTTTTAGATTGTTCTAATTCTCAACTCAATGTGGTGATGAGTTTGAAAAACATCAAACTTCATCAGATAGATTTCTGGTGACAAATTAGCTAAGCTAATTTTTGGATCATATTTTAACACCATTATAAGTAAAATATGTCAGGTTCCAATTGCTGGAATTGCAGGGCTAAGAAATACTCCTCCATTGTGTGTTAGTGGTCTAATTCCATTATCCTGCTGGTGCATAATATGCAGTGATAAAAGCCTTTAATATAAATCATAGGCTTTGTTTTGTTTAGACAATTGTCCTTTTTTTAGATGCTTTGTTTGTTACATATAAAATTCATTTTATAAATTCAGAAAGTTATAGATTTCTGAATAACTACACAGGCTTCAATGTACATTTTGTTTATTGTCTGGTAAATAACTGTGGTTTACTAGTGGAACATTTCCAATTTTTACCTTTACCACATCTTTCCAACAAGTAAACTTTGTAGAAATGAGCCAGAAGCTAGGGCCCTAAGTTGGCAGTGACCCATAAGTATAAAATAAAAGTTTACAGAAGTTTTTCAGTGTCTCTTCATTTGACATTGTTCATCATAGAGAATGTTTGATACATAATACCTGTTGCAAGCCTCTCCTTAATAATAACCAGGCAAGCTATTTTACTTTCAAACATACCTTCCTGTTTTCTCAATCAACCTACTTTGTTATACTGAACATTTAACTCTCCTATTCATTCTTTTATTCATCTTTCCAGTAAACTTTACTGAGCATCTGTTATGTGCCATGCATTTTTCTAAATCTTAGGGATATAACGGTGAACCAAACAGGCCAAGTCCCTAATCTCACRCAGCTTATATTCCAGAGGAAGGAGCTGGACAATAAAAAATTACAGTCAATAAATAATGTTATGAGGAGGATACCTGGAGGAAAACACTCACATAGCCAACTGCTTATTTGACATCTCTCATGAGATGGCAAATAGACYGTATTTCCAAATGGAGCTTTTGTTATGTTTCAACATAATATTCCTCTGTTCAGTTACATACAGTTCCATCCTTTGAATTATTCAAGACAAAAACTTCAAGTGGCACATGCTTGTAATCCCAACCACTCAAGAGGCTGAGGCAGGAGGATTGCAAGTTCAAAACCAGCCTCAGCAACTTAGTGAGGCTCTAAGCAACTCAGTGAGACCCTGTCTCTAATGAAATATAAAAAAGGGCTGGGGATGTGGCTCAGTGGTTAAGCACCCCTGGGTTCAATCCCTGGTACCAAAAAAAAAAAAAGACAAAAACTCTGAAGTCATTTCTCATCCCTTTCTCTCTCACCTTACACCCATCATCTCAAAAAATCCTGAGGTCCACAACTTCAGAATATTTCCAGGACTGTTCCACTTCTCTGTATTTCTGTCTCCTAGATCTGCACATCATCTTCTTTTGCCAGAATAAATGCAGTAGGTTCCTGTCACACCTCCTTGCTTCCAGTCTTGTCAATGGCCAAACTCCAATCTCCGATTAGCCTTTCTGTCTTCCTCTCTCCCTCTTTCCATCTCTCCCTTTCTCCCTTCTCTTCCTCTCCCCTAAGTGATTAGGTTAAACTACCCTAAATAGCATCCCACTGTGGCATGGCTAGACATTTTGGAAGTTTGAACCTAGGAGCTGCTGACCCCTGATTGAGGCATTTATAATCTAGATTTAAAAAAAAAAAAAAAAGAGAGCACATAAATCTCCAGGTCCAGTTTTCCTTGATGCATTCCCATGACTTGAGTAAGTAAACCAATACATTGACCTTTCTTCCTTTGCTAGTTAAATTTGGTTTTCTGTTACTTTCAAGAGACACATTCTAATACCATCTCACCTAAATTATCTCAATTCATCTTTTTTATTATTGTGTTTTTTGGAGGGAGCAGTTTTAAATTGATGGAGAAACTGATCCAAACTGCAGAGAGTTTCCATTGTCCTCCTTCCTCCCCTCTCCACTCATAATTCCCCCTGTTATTTTTATTTGTTTTACCCTTTTATGCAGTGCAGGAGCGAACCCAGTGCCTCACGCGTGCTAGGCCAGAGCTCTGCCACTGAGCTACAGTCCCAGCACTCTCCCCCTGTTGTTTACATCTTCTATTAGTGTGGTGTGTTTATTACAGTGGATGAATCAATATTGATGTGATACTATTACTAAAGTCCAGAGTTTACAGTCTGTTTCATCTTTGGTGCTCTGCATTCTGTGGGTTTTGACAGTGTATAATGCCATTAGGGTTTTGTTGGGGAGGGTTCCCCTGATCCAACCATTCCCTCTCCTTTCTCTTCCCCTCTTGATTGAAATTTTCACTTAACACAGACAGAGTGAATACCCACCATATTACATTTTGTTAAWTGCCAGGAATGTGAAATAAGATGTACAAATAAATGCAATGAAGTGCTCACTGGTGACTCAGGAGACGTCAGCAAGGCAGATGGTAAAGGCACAGAGAAAAGAACGGCAAGAATTCTGGTGAACATCAGTGAACAAAGTGTGAGGCCTTATTATCTACAACTCTTGTTTTGTATAAATATTATATCGCTGCTAGGGGAATGGCATAATAATAAACAACATGGTATTGTGTCTACATTGTGAGGTTTATTTAAGTCAGTAAATGTTATTTTCCATTCAAAAATAAACCTACCCAGTGGCTGCGGGTGTAGCTTTATGGCCGAGCACTTGCCTAGCACGTGAKATCCTAGATTCAATTCCCAGCACCCTAAATAAGTAAATAACCAAAACTTGCCCATAAATTTAAAATTATTAGTAGAATGAAATAAGTTGGAGATTAAGTCCAGGAAATAGGCAAGAAAAGCATGTAAATTTGACTAATCTATTGCCTCTATGATTTTTACAGTATTKCTAGTTTAAACTAGTATAACTAGCATGATAACCACATATATATGGAGTGAATGCACAGCCAGTCTTCCCAAAACCCCTGTAGGCCTGTGATTGAGTCTGCTGTTCCCTTTTGTTTGTGAAATAATCTAGCACAGTGCTGTCTTTATTGATTTTGCTCCATACTTCAAACAAGCAAAGTTAAATGGGAGCACAAATCTACTACATACAGTTGGTCGTTTCTAAAACTCCAGTGGGGTCTTCATGCTGAAAACTCCCAGTGGCTTTAAAAATAATCCTCCATTTGTAAACCTTCTGTCACACTTTCCTCTAAGTAGAACGAAGACAGCCCAGTGTCTATATTTGGTCACCACTGGTGCTCTTTGACTTTTCTGTGTGTGTGTGTGTGTGTGTGTGTGTGAGTGTGTGTTTCTGAAACTGAAAAGAGAGAGGCTTCAGTTCCTGGAATCAAGAAATAATGAAGAACTGAAGATGACTGCAAAGCTCATCTCCCCAGCAAGCTTTCTGGCTTTTTCAGTTCTGATTTGGTGAAGCCAGAACTCCTAATACCTCCGGTTTCCTCAGCTTTTAGCATCAATCGTAWTCAGTAGAATCTGTCAACTGCGTCTTCCTGGGAGGTAATAAATTAAGAACAGCAATGCCAACTCCAAATATAAACAGAAGAGTCATGGAATCTTCCTAGGGGAATACAGAGAATTCCACAAATTTTTCCTTTTTGCTTGTAAACCACAGTCCTCTTATCTAATTGATCTACACGGAACTGATCACTGTTTATTTGAATTTGATTCTGGGGAGRGAACTACAATGGTATATTTGGTGTTGAGTAATGACATTTGTCCCAGATGGCAGTCATAGCTTCGCTGAGTGGAGTCACRTTGTCAGCCACGTCACAGGCACCTCGAGGGCACAGTCCTGACTCATTCCATTTACACATATTTTTTTTTCCAGAATTCAGCCATTTCTCCATGAACTRTAACTATTTCTCTCAAAGTATGACTATTAGGATTAACTTTGGTAAAGTTCTTAGGCTTTTATAATACTCTAAAATGGCAAAACCTACTAAATGTGAGCAGGGGAAGGGAATGTGTTCTCTTTTAGGCTTTGGAGGCAGATATGTGTACCTAATGAAAAACTGATCTTCTAGGGCCATTTTTTTTCTCTGTTATGAAAACTAGTGGAGGTAGGTCCATGTTGAAGTATGGAATTCCGCTGACCAACTCAGGCCTAGCACAGTCAGCCTCTGGAGCTGGTGAGGGTAGAGGTGAGGGTCTTCCTACGCCTTCCTTTATTTATCTTTGAAGAAAGTGACCATATATCCTGCTACTCCTTATTTCTGTTCCATTTTGACATTTTTAGCTTGGCTAATTCCTCAGTTTTTATTTTCTTTAAAAATAATCCTCCTCACATTAAAAAAAGAATATACAAAACATATATATAATATATTTAAAGCTCTTATAGAATAATAATGAATGGATGATCCATGAATGTAAGAGGGGAAAATCCTAAATTTAGAAATATATGGTCAACCGTTTGTATGCAAAGAGGAATGGTTCCARGATCCTCCCAAACACCAAATCCACAGGTGCTCAATCTCTTATCTAAAATGTCATAGTGCATTATCTACACACCTCCCTTTATACTTTAATCATCTCCAGATTACTTCTAATACCTAATATGATGTAATTGCTATATAAATACATAGTCACTGTGCTGTATTATTTAGGAATAATAAGAAAA